CCAGGTGAGCAGGGTCGTATACAAGTTGACGAACCAGGTGAGCAGGGTCGTATACAAGTCGATGAACCAGGTGAGCAGGGTCGTTTGTTTGAAGAGGAAGCGATCGAAGAGCAGCGAGAGTTCATAGGGGGCACCAGAAGACAGGTGGATGATTTCCAGGAGTATGAGGACTCAATGTACGAGCCATCAATAGCAGAGAATGAGGACCCGAAGGAGGACGAAAAGGAATGCCAAAAACCAGATCCTCACCCTGATTGCGAAGCTCCAGAGTCTACCTACTTGCTGTTTGCGAAGGCACTCCCTGCAAATGGATCCGCAGTGGTGAAGGGGGCGCTGCAGGATGTGGTTCTCTACCTGCAATCGCATGGGTTACCAGTTTGCCGCTTTCATGCAGACAAGGGCGAGACCTTTAACCATGCAACGAGAAATTGGCTACGTGATCAAGGTATTCGTGCTACCTGGAGTGAACCAGGTGTACCACAAGGGAATGGGCAAGCTGAAGGAGCTGTACGATGGATCAAAGACCAAGCACGGACTTTGTTAATGAGCGGGCGGATGCCAACAAGGCTGTGGGCAACGGCGGTGGAGACAGCAGCTGCGCAACAGAGGGCTCGGGTGCTACAATGGAAGTCTCGACTGATGGCGCCCTATGGAGCGGTGGTGCACGTGAAGCAGAAAAAGTTCGACTCATCCGGACCACGGAGGCGGGAACTGGCATTCGAGACAAAGTGGACGAAGGGACACTACGTTGGACTCAGCAGTTTGTTGGAGAATGGCCATGTGGTGTACGTTCCACCTGGAGATGGACAAAAGGAGAAGTTTCTACACACATTCCATGTGAGACCAAGGTTGGTGGATCCTGGACCTCCAGAAGAAGAGCTGGTAGTCGCCGAGCCGCCTAGGCCGAGGAGGAGAATTCCCGAGAAGCGTCCTTTACATGAAGTGGAAAGGAGGAAGCTACAGCTAAGCTAAGTCGCGAAGAGCTCAGTGAATATGCCAAAGACCGGTCAAAGGCTCTGTTGGACAATTGGTCCTATGGGGAGGCCGAGCGATTGGTGGAGGAGCTAGCTCTATCAGGCTTTTTCGATGAGGTGAAGTTCGGGATCTACCGGCATGGTGGTGTTATTGGACGGCTAAGTGGTCAGACTGACTACCCCGAGGTGACTCAGGTGCTCAGCAAGATGGTCCAGGAAGTAACTCCAGAAGCTACGTTTACGGCTATGTGGGTTACAAGGACGTCAAAATTGGGAGTTCATAAGGACGTGAATAACGACGAGGCTACCGAGAACTTCGTTCTACCCATTGCGGTTCCCTATCAAGGAGGTGGACTGTGGGTTGAGTTGGCAAAGGGTGACAAGGTGCAAGGGGAACTATGTGAGCGAGAAGATGAAAGGGGGCGACGACGTTATGGGCAACTTCTACCACTACAACCTCGCGAACACATACGGCTCAATCCACGACGAGCTCATGAAGTTCAACCTTGGAAGGGGGAGAGAGTAGTCCTTATTGCATATACGCCACAGTGTATGGGGAAGCTGTCAGCCAACATGATCATGGACTTGGAGTCGCATGGTTTTCAGCCACCTTTGACACAGATGCCAGAGTACTTTATGAGTGGAGACGATGTGAGGGCAAAGTTGGTTTCGATTGTTCCATCTCAGCGGGATGAACAGGAGAGAGACTGCAAGGAGCCGCGCGACCTCGAGGAGGACCCATGGGAGATGTTCGTCGAGGTGGACAGTGAGTTGGTCAAGGTGGTGACTTCAGAAGTTGACGGGCTGGACGGAAGGCCGCTAGTGGCTAAAGTGGAGGTGAGCTATACGTACAACATAGAGGAGAGTCTGCAGGGACTCAAGGCCCCGCTGGAAGTCACTCACACAGTCTCTCCAAAGGAGGCCTTTGCCTGTATTGAAAAATGGCGAGATGCGATAACCAAGGAGATGAACAGCGTCGAGGTCGCCATACAGAGATTGCGCGTGGGGACGGAAGAGCGGAGAAGCTGGCTACGTGACCCCCGCGCGCAGCGTCTACCAATGAAGCTGGTCTTCACTGTCAAGCCAAATCCAAAGGCCGATGTCAGCAAGCCGGATACGTTCTACCGCCGAAAGGCTCGTCTGGTGATCTGCGGGAACTTCGCGGAGGCAGAAGCACAATCTTTATATACCGAATCCGCTCCCTCGGAGGCGGTCAGGGCGAGCCTGGTGGTGGCCACGCGAAACGCGTGGTGGGTCGGTGTCCTGGATATCGTGACAGCCTTCATCAGGACCCCATTGGGGGAGAACTCGGACGACCCGGTGGTCGTTGCTACTCCGCCCCGTATATTACAAGAGCTCGGGCTTATTACAAGCCAAGAATTGTGGGCGTTGGTGCGAGCACTATATGGCCTACGGCAATCACCGATGCTTTGGGCTCGATATCGGGACCGGAGAATGCAGAGCATGGTGGCACCACACAATTTGGTTATGTCACGAGGGCGTACTATCACCTCGTGGTGGTCGATAAAGGACCAGTCAGGCAGATTGGTGGCCATCATATTAATATACGTCGATGACTACTTGATACTGGGACCTAAAGAAGTTCTTCAAGATCTGGCGGCCATGGTCCAGGAGGAGTGGGAAACCTCAGATTTATCTATACTCACGGAAGATAATGAGGTGAAGTTCCTTGGCATGGAGTTGTCTTTAAAGAACGGAGAAATCCGACTGGGACAACGGGGCTACGTGGAGGAGCTGATGAGAGCGTATGACATGAAGGATACCGATGTCTCAAAGATCCCGCTCAACAAGGATGAGGCCGTCTATGAGGTGTTATCTACAGACGCAAAGCCAACCCCGGAGATGACTCACAAGGCCCAGCAGATGACAGGTGAGCTACTATGGCTGTCGCAGCGGTCAAGACCTGATTTGAGCTACGCATGCTGTATATTGTCATCATTAACAACCCGAGCGCCAGATCGGGTGATTTCCATGGCCTTAGAGTGGTTTGGAAGGGCGCCCAGCTGGCCTTATACCCTGATGCGGCATTTGCACCAGCTTGCAGCCGAAGCCAGTCAGGCTGGGTTATCTACTACGGAGGAACCCCGATACTGTGGAGAAGTAGCAGGCAGCCGACCACGGCACTGTCGACGGCAGAAGCAGAATCAACTGCGATCCTGGAAGGAAGTCTCGCATTATTGGGGGTCGAGGCGATGTTGTTGGACATAGCAGAGTCAGTGGATGACAAAGTGGTGGGCTCAGACTCGATGAGTGCTTTGTGTATTTCCTCTGGAACGGGAAGCTGGAGGACACGGCACCTCCGAATAAAGGCATCATGGCTCCAGGAAGCCATATCAGGAGGGCAACTAGGAGCAGAACACGTTCCAGGACTTCGACAGCCTGCGGACCTACTAACAAAGGCTCTACCGAGCCAGCGGCTACGAGATCTACTACGACTGTGGATGATGATGGACGAATCACCGTCGTTGACGCCTTCTACAACTACTGAGTCAGGTAATAAGGCAATGGTGGCGATGTTGTGCTGTATGTTGATGATAACGTCAGTGAGTGCGACGGCCGAGACACAACCCATTCACACTATCAATGTAGATTGGGATACTGCAGCGGTCGTGATGGGCCTGCTGATGATTGCGGGTGCCGTGGCAACCTATGAATTCCTGAAGTGGCTGGGTTCGGCAGTCATCTTCGAGTACTCACCAGAAGCTTCCGCTCGCAAGCTAAGGAAGTTGGAGAAACTTCGAGATGCTACAGCGCAGGCGATTGAAAGTGAAATTACGCGTCGTGAGCAAGGGGCCTCAATGCGATCGAGCACATCTTCGACCTCTATAAGCCGAAGAAGATCAACAGCACCAGCGAGAACACCGTCCCCGCCAGCCGTGAGGTTATCTACACTACTGGGGAGCCCATCAACTCCAGTACCAAGTCTACCAACTCCGATTGGGAGTCCAGAGGCTCAACCTACAGGGACAATGGAAGCTTCTGTGGGACGAGCGTCATCTTATGCGCAGCAGAGCCCTAGAGCATCACAGTCACAAGATCGAGAACATGAAGGCGAAGCTATAAGGGTCTGCAGTGACGTGGCAATGTTGATGAGAGTGGAGGAGCTGAGGGAAGCGCTGAGACTGAGGGGTTTGCCTACGAGTGGTCTAAAGCTAGACTTGGGGCGACGCCTGGGAGAGTCGATTGCGCCCTCGGTTGGGGATCCCACGTTTCCAACGTTGCGGCAAATGAGATACTTCTTATGGTTGTGGAGACACAAGGACCTTAATGGGAAGGTCCTACTACGTTGGGCAGATATGTGCACTCGCTCGGCAGCTTCGGGTACAATCAGTGCTTGGAGTCGATTGTGAGTGAGATGCGTATAAGCCCTAGCGGCAACACGAGGAGGAGTGCTAAAGCGGAAGTCCAGACTTTAC